ACTAAAAAGTCACTAAAAGTATGCTTGTGTTTAGTATATTCCTTAAAAGTGTAACTAAAAATACATTTATTAACATAGTATTTCTACTATACTTTTTAGAAATATACTAATAGTGTGCTTGTGTTTAGCATATTTCTTAAAAGTGTAACTAAGCATATATTTATTACCAAAGTATTTCTACTATACTTTTTATAAATACATTAAAAGTATGCTTGTGTTTAGCATATTTCTTAGAAGCATAACTAAGCATATATTTAATATAAAAGTACTTCTATTATACTTTTTTAGAAATATATTAAAATGCAATTCAATATATTTTCATTGCACTTCAAATAAGCATGTTGGGAACACAAATGTATTATAAACATACTACTTGAATTTCAAGTATATTTTTAATACATTTAATACTCCGTCTTTTTCAGCTGGGAACACTAGCGCATTACAGTATTCCAGCACTTCTGTAAGAAAACAAGACAACTTACATCCAAACGCTGCATGTCAGGAGTCATGTTTGCATCATGTCTCCTTCTTGTCCGTCTTTCTTCATCAGAGCTGAGATGAAAAGTAGTGCCGGTATGTCTCATTTAATTCTTTTAAATGACTTAATTAACAGGTTCTCTCAAACTCAAGAGACGAAAAGCTAAACCAGTGGACATTAAAGCTTTAATGCTCTGTATAAAATCATGTTATCAGCGAAAACCCTGCAAGTGCTGTAGGACTGTGTTCTGTGGAGTGTAGGTTCTGTTTTTTAAGCAAGGGGTGGACTATTGCATGCTTTAATAAATCAGGAACAGTACTGGATTATTATAATCAGGAGCTGTGGATCAACTATATCGAAGACTTGTTTAAGAAAATAGTCAATGATCTCAATAGAAGAGCCCGAGGGCTACTATTTCTTGAAGATGAGTGCCAGAAATGGTTTAAATTGGCTTAAAATAGCACTGCAAACAGAGGGAATGGAGTAGTTTCAGACTTACTCAGACACATAACAAAAGAGCAGCATCAGGACTTGTGTTATTTATTAACTGTACTGCTTTGGATAAAAGCGTTTGCTAAATGACTAAATGTGTGGCGTTCTTACTGAATACCACAGAAGCTTTTGTTCTGTGTGGTTTCCTGCATCT